ATCAAAAATCGCCGACACCGTTTTTTAGTTCCAAATGTGATTTCTATTCTTGCGAATTTTAAATTCAAAATGTTTTATTGCGGAAAAGTTAGAGCGTTTCAAAAGTACAATTTTTCTCAATTTTTCAAATGCATGGCGTGACGCCCCCTAATGCGATATAAAGAAAGAGCAATACGAATCGATTTTATAACTATTCGTCTTATGTTGCTTTTAAAACTATAAATAAATCACATTGTTGATCTAAATTTGGTGCAAGTTTGTGTGGAAAAAAGTGGAAAATTAAGCTGAATATTACGTACGGTCTTTCGCGATGTTTACGTTTCACCGTAGTAAATTGACTATATTTATTGTTTGTTTGAAAATTTGAATTTGAGATTTACGTTTTTACTTTTATTTTTTTTCGGTCGGCGGTATTTTAGTCATTCGCGAGCTGTGATTGGCTAGCGCGCGGACCGGTTTTTCACGATCTGCCCGGTACGACGGTATCCTGCAGCTAGGCTGCGAGCAAAGTTGCATAAAATACAAATAAAAAAAAATAAAAATGTTATTTACCGGCTATAGGTCGGTCCGTATAGGAAAACACTGCCCTCGGTCTTTTATGTACGGACCTCGCTCCGCTCGTTCCGTACTGTCAAGACCTCGGGCAGTGTTTTCTTATACGGACCTCCCAGCCGGTAAATAACATAAATATATTTATATATATCCAGTCTCCAGTCTGCGGTCTGCAGTCTGCGTTTGTCGCACACCGGTAAACATGTTGTGACGTTGTGTCGAGCACTGGACTTCATTCATTGACAAACAATGATGTGAATTACTTAGTTAATTACAATTAGGTAAAATTATCATCAAACTTGAAAGAACTGCACTTTTTTGGACGTTTCATTCCATTTGGAAGTTCTTCAAGAAAAAGACATTTGAAGAAAAGTCGGGACTAAAAACAGTGTAAGAGTGAGATAATTTGCCATATTCAAATCAAAGATTAACCTTGCTCCCAGCTTACCTTAGCTGTGTATGGGATTGTCCTATACCATAAAGAAAATGCGTCTTCGTTCTTCGTATTTCGACGTTTTATATTTCTCATTTTTGATCAATAACTATGTTTCAGATTGTCTTGTGAAAACTTTTGTCGCGAGTACACGATTCTGTGATCAACGAAACACTAGGCATATTACAGAAGGGGGCGGGGTCGAGAGTTGGAATGGGATGATTGTGGAAAAATATTAAAAGAATGAAAGGGAAAWGTGCATATATGGACACAATCCAAAATTGAAGATGAGTTTACGTTCTGATTTACTTGTTAACTCTTCCGTCGTAGTTTTTCGCCCTCCTCGACTTTTTTGTTTGCTGTTCAAACTAGCAACTAATGGACGTAGCCTGTGCATTGATTAGAAGCCACTTAAGCGTCATTCTTAGATTTGCATTTCATCGGGAATTTTGAAGACAGAGACTTRAAGATTTTAATTGKTGCTTTGTACCACATACCTACATTTTCATTGTCCAAATATCTATCAAGAAGCAATTAAAGATACAAGTCACTATCGGGAACAAATCGTTTTCATTAACGTGGTGTTTCTTTCCTGAGTTGAAGAACTTTTTTTTTTTTCGGCACGTTATTTTTATCTCCTTTCCATCCCTAAGCATTGTTCGGATGTATTTATGGCAAGATAAAACTGCTTTGTTTGAGCTAAATGTTTCCAAGGTTTGGAAAGAATTAGTTAAGACAGTTCCTCGTCAACTGTCTGGAAATCCGACATTATAGTTTAGTATAAACTCATTTGTAAAGGCTATTCTTTGTCAATGCTCTTTCAAAGTAAACTCAAGTTAGATATTAAATAAACAGCAGTCGAACTGTGTTTTTTTAGAAACATTTAATAATTCAATTGATGAGAAAGGATACTTAATTTACTCTTGTTTACTTACACAATATTGGTTAAATGAGCAATATACAAAAATCGCTGATCGAAAACTAGAACATTTCTTAATCCAAGTTAAATTAACTTATGGTGAAGTGATTGTAAATCAGTAATTAACCTAAGAAAATGACATTTTTTCAAAAACTGACGCAAGTAAAGGGAAAATCGAGTTCAGAGTTATTCATCTTTTTCGGGGGTTTCCGACTATTTATTGACACTTTGCTGCATCCCTCGGCTCGTCCTCGTCACTAGTACCGCTCCACGCTGCGCTGTCAGACTCCGAGTACGATTTGTTGACTTGTCGTAACACTGTCTTCATTCCTCTAGTCAGGGGGGGTATGCATTCAAGTGGYACTAGGTAGTTGGATAGCTGAAGAAGGTCGATGAATACCTTATATCGGTCACTATGAGAACAAGAAAAATGAGTGATGTTTTAAAAACAACTTCAGATCTGAGACAACTCTACAGCAATTGACACAAATGAAACAAACGTTATTTGTTGGATTTTCGACCAGATGTTTCTTTTAGTAAATGACAATCTTGGAAGACACTGTCACAATTAACTCATCTTCCTTTGTAACCTTCTCGTCTGGTATATGTCACTGTTTAACTTAAAATTGACGTTGCCAAATGACGACTTTATGTGATCATTCAATATTGGTGTTATTGACAGTCTTGCGGTGCACGTGTTTTTTTAAATTGATCGATCAACAAACTATTGCCTATTAGTATTACCATACTAGTGGACTATTGCAAATCCTTCGTTCTCATTGGCTAAGCTACTCGGGGTCTATTTTCAATAGTCCTCGACTAGCGAAAAGCGACAACTTTTTGCATATTTTTAGCAATAAAAACATTTAGTTATTTATATATTTCATTCATTTTTTGTCCAACTAGTATGGTAATACTAAAACAATTAGATCTCTCGGCCTCGTGGCCTACGAACTGATATCCCATGAGGCCTTCTCATAGTCAACTCGCCCTCGAGATCTAATTGTGAAATATTTCATATCAGCCCGACTTCACGCTAGTACCCAGTCAGTTTTTTGTTTACTTCGGTTGATGGTGCTTTCATTGATGCATCGATCGCCTAGGAATGAACTCGAGTCTGTACTTAAAAAACACTTATAAACCAGGTAAACAAACCTGATGGTTGTTCTAAGGTAATGGTAACCAGAAGAACCACCAGTTCCAGTCTTCGCTCCAATGGTTCGTTGCACCAGCATTAAATGGTTGTCTATCAAATGCAACGAACAGTTAATTATTAATTATCATATAAATTCAGCCTGCTATACCCACAGTCTGTGGTCTTTTTCAAAGGTGGTAAGTATGCATTGCGTTTTCGCTGAATTGCACTTGCTTGAATTAAAAGTGCCTTTCGTTTTATTCTCCGCTGTATATGAAAGGCTGTCCACGTGTTAAGGATTTAAAAATACTTACATCTCCACTTGGTAATGAGATTATCAATATCAATGAGAAGCTGAAGGATTTGATAAGGCTGATGAAAGCGAGGTTCGTCACTGAAAGAAA